TCGAGCAAGACTAGTGACTAAAGTCAAATTAAAGTTTTTTTTTATCGATTTCTGATTCCTGACATCTTCCTGCATATCGCTTTTAATCTTCGTCTTTAGAATGTGATTTGTGGGAATTTAATTCTATAGGAATTTATGGCCATGTGCTCCTTATATTCATGAAAACAACCCTGCTTTTGAGCAAATTGTCTTCGCATCCTAAAGAAAGAAATTCAATCAATTTTATGTCCAAAAAGACACGACTAAACTGTCACCTTGAATATAGCAAATAAAGCCACATGTTACAAAATTTATTGCACACACACACATAGCATAAAGACTGCTTAATCCGCAAATTTGCCATGATATTGTGTGAAAATAAAATACCACGTGCTACATACAAAGTGTCATCTTGTGAAAGTCTTAAAGGTTTTTGTGTTACTAGTAGCATGAGATGATTTATAGTGCAATCAGGAATGAAGCTTGAAAGTATAGAGACTTCGTGACTTCAATTAATCGGTTAGAGGGCTCTGATACTCAATAACTGTGCTTCATCTTAACAAGGCGCCACTGATAGCCAGTTTTTCAATTAGAAGTTGAGTAATTCTTGATAAAATCTCAATGATGCACCAGGCGAAGCCCTTTGTGTTGGTTTTTCGGTACAAATTTCTTCATTTGCCAATTCGTTAAACAAACTTTCGGGTTAGGATACTTTAGTGCAGAGGTGTCCAACTTTTTTTGTGCTACGGTACATCTTGGTGATAAGTCATGACCAGACTGCACACGGCATACGTTCGTGGAATTTTCTGAATTTTTTCGAGGCACATGGGTTGAACGTTGGACATCACTGCTCTAGTGTTTACACTAATGATTAAAGATAGTGTTAGGAGCAGATGAATACTGAGGCATCCGCTCATGAAGCGGGTCAGATGCAATTTCAAGATGTTAGAAAATCTTCTTGTTAAAGTCTTTGTTTCCGTTCTACAGGACCCTACACTTCATAAGTTGAGGTTGTTTAGTTTCGAACCCACGACCACGAGTTGATTTTTACACTTGCACATACCTAGCTGCTTTACAACCGCTCACTACTAAACATTTGTTTAACCCCAATACAACTCGTTTATATCGTATCAAACACAAATGATATCCAATACCTTCCCATTCACTTCCCTAAACACCATTAAGCTCATCTAAAATCCCATTATAGTCAACAAATACATGGATCAACAGAATCAAGTGGATAAAGGGGAGAGGAAAAAAAGATGAAAATTATTTTGACATTCCATCGACTTATCGTTGTTAAGCTTTCGATTCTTGTGTAAATAAATTTTGCCATTTCCATTGTCTGAATGGCAAACAGCAAGGATAAAAAAAATATTCTAATATTATAACATCTTTCCTCATCATTGCCCTATAGCGCGAAATGATAGAATAAAGTCATTATGAGATAAAGCACGAGCTTTGTTCGGCCAGAATTAGTTGATTAATTTTAACGATTAGTATCACAATGAAATGAAATGGGAAAGCAGAAAAAAAGCTCAGTAATTCTTATTGTATGTAAATGTGATATTATTTTATGTGTGTGTTTATGTGGTAGGCGGCAAAGATGATATCAAAAAGGAATCAACTCAGTTCCTCTTCTTTTTTATGTACTTGAGGAATATCTCTTATGATCCATGATTTATCGCGATTATATTGCTTTGATTCTCAACCCTATAATGTTGTCTCTCTATAGATTTATGTGTGACTCTATCCATGTGGAAGCCTTGAACTATATTTATCGACTTTTACGATAAATTCATCTTTAACTGCTTTGCTGTATTATTCTTTGTTCAATTATTGATCCATTCGATTGCATTTAAATGAGGAAGTTTGTCTTCATTTCTATTCTCCTTTATTTCCATTCTCTTTAGATCTTTCTCCTCATTCCTTATATTTATAAATCAAACGAAAGTGAATTTTTGTTGCTATCAAGAGAATCATTGCGGTTCGTTTTTTACGCTCATTGCCATATGCCTTGTTTTACGTAATCCTCATTGCGAATGATACGCATGAACGCATTTTACAAAATTGGAAAATAACTGTGGTGCTGTATGCGTGTATATAGATGAGATGGATATACACATGTGAGCTCATGGAAATTTTCCTTTTTTTTTTGAAGATCCCAAAGCCACATCGACCAGGGTTGATGGTCAGATTAAGTCAAGCCTACTAAATTCTTTTAGTGATGAAAAGAATTTGGAATGTGTGTTGATTGCTAGAATTTCAGGGGCAGATTTGAACTTATTTCAATTTCATGGTCATTGGATTAGAAAGCTTGAATGATGGAGTCACAATAATGGAGTATTGGACACAGCTTCTTTTCCAATTTAAACATTAATTTGAGAATCAAATTGTGCAGTCTTTACTGAGTAAATTCTCTATAAATGTCCAAGCTAGGGTTTTAAACCAACAAGCTAAAGCACTGGGCTTTATTTAACCAGAACTGTACAGTTTTATAACAAATAAATTAGTCTAATAAGCTTAATGATGTTTATTGTTTGAAGATTGAAAGGGAGTAACAATTTTAAGAATGGCAATCAACTAGTAGTTTCGAACACATTTTAAATATAAAATGACTGTTGATATATTCTTAACAAAGATTAAAGCTCTGATTCCAACTTCTTAACAGCAACCTCAACTGATTATCCTACTAACCCTCAAGTTTAATAAAATCAGAACTGATCATCAACTCTGGACCACCATCTCCTTATAAATCTACAATATTTTCTTTTTAACATCCCCCAAACATACCAAGGACAGAAAACAAATATATTCAAGCAACAGCTCCGAATGAATCTTTAATACATATCCAATGCGACATAATTCACTGCTGTTGCTGCTTAAACTCAATACCAAAGAAGATTAAATGTAAAAAGAAGAAGAGAAAAAAAATCGTTTTTAAGAAAATTTTCCCTTGTCAGATTGACAAAATGAATTGGCATGACTAAAAACAGCAAGTGACTTGAACTAAGCAACGACAAAAATAAGGCTTATTATAAGAAGCCAAAATAAATGTTGTCATTGCAGAAAAGCTTTTAATGCGTAGGAGTTGACAGCTTCAGTTCCATACAATTTCAATCTACATATTTACTTATTGAATTTCTATCATCCTAGCTAAATTGAGGTCTACACATAGATTTGATTAATGTCGAAATGTTTCCTATTGTGAGCGCTTTTATAGACTCTTGGACAGGGTCGAAACTAGGAATTGAACCCTAATTGGATGGAACAACTTCTTGAAATAGCTGATTTTTTAAGAGTAAATACCAAACTTTTGTGATATTAAAGAACGCTCCCCATCCTATGCATCCAAAAAACTAAGTTCAATTTTCCCCTTCCTCCCTCAAAAAAATACCTAGCTGTGTCTTTACTTCCAAAAATATAATTTATTTAACTTAACATTGAATTTGATTTTCTTTGCTATCGTCTGAAGAGGAGCCTTAATGGTTTATATTTTTTTCGGGTATAAAGCCATGAAAAAATGGGTTATTCATAAAATGATTTATTCATATTCAGCCATTGCATGATAAATATTTCACTCGATATGAATAAATTTATGAATTTTGAATGCTTTTTAATTTTTCAAATACTTCATCGAAAATTCCACAAAATCAGAAGCTTTTTTTGCACTTCCTTCCTGCACAACCAGTTGATGTAGCAAAAAAAAATCAATATTCCATAACCGTCGCATACATAATTAATTTTAAATTAGAATCGACATTTACAAATCTGACAAAATGTTTTGACATTATGAAATTTGACATACACGAGGTGTTTACTCGAGTAACGCGGAAAAGTAAACAGCGATAGGAAAATGAACATGAGTCATGTAAAGATTGGAATTTAAGTCAAAAGCATGAAATTCTCAATTGTATTATGTCAGATATTTCAAAATATTTTCCGTGTTGAGAATAACATGCAGAATCGAGAGTTGGTACTTGATGTGTATGAATAATTGGTAGGAATCCCATCGTTGATGATCTTGTTTGAGGTTTCCGGATATGTTGTATCTGAACAGAGTGGAATCTAGCTTTATGTAGGCAAATTTGCTAGTGCAAGAGTGAGTTGTCTATGTCGAAGTGGTCAAGCAAGTGACTGAATATCTGTAAGTTTCTTTTATAAGGACATGGGTTCAATTCCTATATGACACCAATTTATTATTCAATATGATAAAGATTCTCACAGTGCTCGAGACTTACAGTAGACACATGTTAGAGTAGTCACAAGAAGAGCAATCAAGGTCATGCTTAACGTCACAATAATATATGTAAAGTAAATCATTTGTATATTCTGATAAGTCACATTAAGACTGAAATTTCTAAAATTCATTTAAATAAAACCTCAACATTATCCAATAACATAATCATAAGTCTAACCCTGAATCCTCCTATCCAGTCTTCAAATTTCAAATCAAAAACCATTTCAATCGTAAAGGATCTTCACAAAAAAACTCAATGGCTTGTCTTATTTACAAGATTTCTAACACATTTTATAAATCCATAACGTTAACTGTCTCAAAAAAAAAAAATCATACATCCTCCCTTTTATGTAAATTTCAAGTATAATTGAAAATCCATATCAAGGAAATTTCAGCTCGTTTCCTTTTTTTCACGAGCACTTGAAAAAGAATTGACGACGACGAAGGAAGCAGTCTGGTATTATTATTTTATTTAGAGGCGAACAAACACTCTCCAAAGCTATCGTTCAACCGCACAAACACACATACAGAGACAATCATACGTGGAAGTGAACTTAAAGAACAATATATAGGGGCTGTTCATGAATGACGTCATGGTTTGATGAAAATGGGGAATAGACTTAAGTTTTTTGCTGTGAGTTAACATATGGAATGACTAGGGATGCACCTTTCAAGTTTGAAGATAGTTAAGGAAAGAGCTTTCAACCCCAATTTTAATTGACGTCATTTGTGAACAACCCCATTCATAGGATATGTTTGATTATTATGCAAAAATATTCACCTTTCGTGTTGTTTTGTTATCCTTCCTTCTCCTACTGCTTCTTCTTCCTCCAAATAATATTTTGAAGTGCCTTTTCCTCTCTCTCTGCCTTTATTTTCTGTATATTCTCTCTTTTTATTATTTTTCTATTATATTATACTTTTTTAACGTTTGGGGATTTCTTTTTTTTTTGCGGACGTAAGACAAAATATACAGCACAGAATTTATTTTTTTTAACCGATGATTTTCGCCTTTCAACCTTTCATGTTTCTCATTTTCTCGTTCACATCAATAAACTTTTTTTTTCCTTTATCCTCTCGCTGTTCTTCTTTATTTCCTTCTTTCTCCGAGCCACTTTTTATCAATTTTTTGCTATTCAATCGGATAGACTCAATGCACTATGTCAGCCACAAATGATGAATCTAAGACATGTATTATGGGAAATTTGCCACATTCACGAACATGTTTGTGCTGTAACTTTTATTAGTTGTAATTTTTCATTCCTTTAAACTTCAAACGTAGTCTTGAATTTCACACAAAAAAAATCGAGGAAAATTTTATTTTAAACACTCGTAAAAAGAATTTTTAATGGCTCTGCTCGGTTATTTTTTTTAATTTAATTTTTTTTTCTCAATAACTTTTTCTTCACATTGTTCCACACATACATTGGCCATCAATCATCATAACTACCTCATTTGCATTCTGAAATTTGTAATAATTCTTATTTTTATTAAAGAGTTACACATACACAGAAGGATTAAGGTTTTAACTCTGTCTTTAACTCTCTAATCAGAAAAGTTATGAGGGGATATAAAAAAGTGAATAAATTATAGGCAGAAATATTAAAATATAATTGCTTTAGGTGTGGGGTGGCCAGCAAAGATGTTCTTGATTTGGAAACTTTTTAATATATACAGGCTTTAGACAAGTAGCGGAGAGTAGGAGATGAATCAAAAATTCTTATGCTGTTTATATTGTTTTGGGCACAACAACTCTTTAATTTTACTCAGAAAATATTTCACGAATATCAGCTTAATGTGCGGACAGAGAAATTGTACAAACTAGGTGACAGAAGCAACAACAGAAACAGATGGAAAGCCATGTTGTAACCTAAACTCCACACAGAAAAATGGTTACAGTAAATAAGTAAACCTCCCATGGCATGTTTTCTTATACTTTTTAAAAGCTTAACTTTTAGTCATTCTCATATAATGTTCAGTATTCTGATAAGCTCTGATTCCAGAAACCAAGCCAGAAATTCCAGCTAATCCCATCTCTTCTAATATAACAGATTGGCACCCAACCTATTTAGATAGATGATCCTGATGACAAAAAATCATAGCTGTTAAACCATCCAAGCCCTTGATCCACCTGAGGTATACTACCTTAGAATGGAAAATTGATGTTTCTTATTTTGAGTATTGATAAAAAATTTGAACTGTAAGTTTCCCATAAAGCCCATATAGAGCGGTGAAATGGCATAAGTGGCCTAAATGGTAGAGCGTTGGCCTTACGTGCCAAAGGTCCTGGGTTCAATCCCAGGCCATGTCTAATTTTCGAAACTCTTTTTCCATTTCACCGTTCTAGTTACGAAGCTCGGTTTGTGTGCTGGGTGTAGTTTTGAGGTCTTTGACACAGAATCTGCCTCCTTTGCTAGGTATACAAGGATATACTAGCATCTGGATGATTTCCTTACGGCATCTTGCGCACACGAATTGTGACTAGGTACATTGCAGGGTACATCAGGTCTTATGACGTACTCGTGTCTTTGCAATGTGCAGAGCTTGCAAGTGGTTCGGATCCCACTATAAACCGTAGGTCTAAAGGGTGTGGTACAATAGATTCTGTTCTAATTTGAATCGCAGTGCCTCCAGCTGAAAGGCTGGGCCCTTCACACATTATTATTATCCCATATAGCCAAAAAACCAATTGCTACTAGCTTTAGGCGCTATTTAACGGAGGCCATGGATCACAATTGTTCTGTACGGCCAGAGAATAAGATGTATAATAAATGAACAAGCACCTATTCTATCGAAAAAAAATGTTTTTTCCCCGTTCTTATGTGTTATCTTAATTTTATCAACAAATTCTTAAATTATCATTAAAGTAAAAATTATATAGAACAGTCTATAAAATTAAGCAACACTTTAATGACCTATTAATGCCTCACCTTGAATCTACATGGATGGACACCCCCACACCCCAACAAAAACAAATTCAAAGCCATAACTTTTTTTATATTTTCTTCTTTTGAGCTTATTAACGTAATTATTGTAAAATTATAAATGTCACCGGATAAAAAGGGTCACGTGTATTCTGAAATTTATTATGTCAACCTTATTAACACCAAGAAAAAAGTGTAAACTAACTCAAACTTTCGTATTATGAAACACGAGGACTGTAATCATTTAAAGAGGATTTTTTAATGGTTTAATGATGAGAAATTTTGTTTAATAAAGCTTAATTGAAGGTGTCGGTACATTTTAATGAGGAATTTATGGTAAAATTTGATCAAAGAATTCTTGATAATTTGGATTGACATTCTGTTTGGAAGAGCTTTTAATGAATGGGTCGATTGTTGGAAACTTGATCATGAAGAATGCCAAAAATTTGATTGAACCTACTCCATTCCCATAGCTATATTTACAAACTCTTGTTTAATTCTAAAAGTGGAACCACAAACTTTAACTCAATCTTAATTTAGAATCCTCAACATCGCAAAAAATAAAATTCACAATTTCACATGCAAAAAACAAAACTCTTGAGAATCAATTGAAAAACTTTGATGATCCTCAGCAAGAGTCTGTTGTTCTCTGCAATTAATTACGTTTCCATACGAAAATTTGTTGATTCGGAAAATTTTGAAAAATTTTCCATGCATAAAAATCGGAAAACATGTTGTTCGTAAGGAGAAACTATCGTAAATATTTGCCAATTAGCAAGCATCCTACATTGACAAATGTTGTCTAACCTTTAACACTTGAACTTTTGTTCCTTCATCCTCCTTCGGTATCATGCCAATTTCCATTTTTTTGTTTTGTTTTTTGTGAAAAGTTTAATTAAAAAAGTTGTCAGCTTAATAACATAATTCTTTCAATTACCGCGAAATAAAATGAAATTTTCTCTTTTATGGCATTTGCTGGTATTGGCAAGTCTTATTGCCTCAACTTTTTTTAGCGGCAAAAATTAATTTAATCGCATTTTGGAACAGCGTAAATAAAACAAAATTGTTTGAGGAAAATCATTTTTTTTTTGTTTAATTTGGAAACTTTATTTAATTTTTCCTGAAAGGAATTAGCAGACGATCAGATAGTTGTCTTGTTATTTCGTTTTGTTTGAGTATAATTTTCGTGAAATTTAAGCACGAAATTTGTGAAAAATTGGGTGCAAATGGAAAAATTAATAATTTGATGAAAAACCCTAGCAAATTCAAAATTGAAATAGGTTTCATAGAAGGATAAAGTTTGGTCCACTGATCCAAGCTCAACCTTACGCCTTAGTAAACCTGTTTAAGGTATTATTAACAACAGAATCATTCAGAAAATTTAAAATTTTTCCTCTAATGTGTTATCCCCCCCCCCCCCCCACATCAACATTAGATACTCCAACATTCTATTCCTATGTAAATCTAGAAAAACTCTAATCCAAAAACTCATTCCTCTATTAATTCTTCTTTTTAAACAATAATAATAACATTAAAGAAAATAAAATTCAAAACATTTTACCGCACAAATTAACCCCCCCCCCCCTTAAGAAAATATAATCCACCACACTTGAATACCCCACATTAAAAAAAATCAAATGAAATTCCGCCTCAAGTCTACTTATCATAAAATTCGGTTTGTGAGGTAATAGCAATTTTCATCAGTAAAACAAAACATTAACGCTCCTCTATCTGAGAGTAGGGAAGGAAGTTTTGGTTCTTTGAAGTTTAAGATTCAAATTCCATTGCGGCATGTCAACTTTGCATCTATAAAAATCCATGTTAAAGATAAAAATTCGTAGAAAAAAAATTGTTTTGTTCGAGAACGTCAACAATCCATATTGTAGCAAACATTACAAGTCCTTTGGGTGTTAAGCAAAATTAAGGAAGACTGAGGGAGTTTGGGATGAAAGAGAAGAGAAAATTAAATTTTGCCAAGAATAAATGAAATTGTTTTCTTTACGTCATAGTCGTAGACAATGTGTGTGAGTGTGTAAATAACAAAAAATGACTATTTCCAGCGCCAGAAAAATTATAATGACCCAAATTTGCCATCATCTTAAAAGAATTTTTTTGAAAAATACAAGTGGGTCGTTCATAAATGACGTCAATCGCAAGATTGAATTTTTTTTGGCTCATCTGGAATAAAAACTTATTGAAAATTGTAGTCCAATGAAGTTCACTAATATGGTAAGTGTATTTAGTCAACTCTGCATCATGCACAGAGGCGTAGCTATATGCCTCTGGGTACACTTCTAAAGCTATGATCATAAAACTATATCACTTTTAAAAAGGTTCTATGAATCAATCTGAGTAGGACCAGACTCAAGAACTTCCATACTAGCAACGAATGTATCCAGAACTTCTCAAAAAAGTGTAAACATAATCCCCTCCTATTCTTCGAGTTGTTATAATTTGTACATTTATCAAAGAATTTTTTTAACAGCTTGACAAACAACCAGATCAATGAACAGACAGACACATTAACAGGGAAGCATATGGAATGATGAGAAGCAGATAAGCAGACTCAAACTAGAAAAATATGCTAACGCGCCAAAAAAAATTTATACATTGTAGTGCCACACAGCTTCAGACCCCTTCTTAACCCCTTTCAAAACTAAACATCATAAGTGATAGAACCCCAAAGATGTTTAAGATGTGTATAGTAGAGAAAGAATGAAGTCAGATTTATGTACTGCAAATACTCGTTACAGTACGATGATGATAATAAAAGAATGTAGGAGAAAAAAATTATAAAAACAAACACCAGCGAAAAAAAAGAGATGTTTTAATATTTATTTTTTTGATATAAAAATATCTTAATGCGGTAGAATCACAAATTATACACAAACGCGAGCCGACTTGCTTTTCTTCTTCTTACTACTACAATTATTTTTCTTATTTTTTCAGCTCTTCTGTATTGCTTTTCCACTACTTTGTTCTATTTGTGCCGACACATCGAATGAGACTGAGGAAAATTTATCGTTTGCTTCAGAGCTTTATATTATTTCGGTGCTCATGGAAATGTCTGTTTATCGACTTCCTCTCTCTCTTGCTGCTCACGCGAGAAAATTTAACGAATGAGAGGGAATTGAACATGATATTACGAGGAAATAAAATTTGTTGAATATCATATTATGTATATTTATGATTCCATCACTTGAAATCGACATTTTTGAGCTTTTTTTATCATGTCATATTGAATTGCCATTTGTCTCTATTCTGTAATATGTACTTTTATTTTATTTTTACGAGGAATGTCTTTGAACTTTTTTTTCGTCTCTTTTTGCCTTTTTTTATCTCCATTCACAGTGATTGAGCACTTAGAAATGTTTATGCAGGATGAGCTTGTTTATCATCAAATCGATGATTTTCTATGCTTATTTATAAAAATATGAAAGAAATGATAGTGGATGGTGTTTAAGAAAGCTAGTAAAGCTAGTTTATAGAAACTAGCATTTAAAGACAGAATTTTAAAAAGAAATTCGATCTAAATTGTATATTTAAATTGCATATTTATGAAGTGCTACAAAGGGGAAAACAACATGATGGGAAAAAAATTTGTGAATAATTTTAAATAAAATTTCTCATTGAATCAAAACTTTCCCAACGGAAATTCTACTCATCGTGTTGTTTTCCCCTTTGAACATCACAAGGCCTTAAACCAGTGTTTCTCAAACTTTTTTGGTTCACGGCTCATTTTTTACATAAAAGTTTTCACGGCACAAAATATGAAAATAAAGGGTCAATTTTTAACAAACAAATTTTTTCGCGGCACACAGTTTGAGAACCACTTCCTTAAACCCTACAAATTCAACTTCCACATTTTAAATTGGACTTTGTAAGGAATCAAAGAGTAGCATTGTACCTTAAAACTGAAAATTAACAATTACATAGGTGCCAGCGATAGAACCAGCTTCAGGCCATAACTAATAAAAAATATCTGCAAGACCAAAGATGTAAGTTTCTATTACCAATTTTTTTCAAGTTCTTTTAATCCAGTCTAAAATTGACCATTTCTTAGCTAAAGATTTTTACCAAACAAAAATATCTCGCGGTTTTTCTTAAAGCTTTGACACTTTTCCATCTTCTTCGTCCAAAAAAACGAAGAAAATATAAATTACTTTACAAAAGAATACGAAGAAGTGTCTACATCTTGGCTTTCCTCTTGATCATTCCATTAGTCATTTCATAAATTGCAAAAGAAACATCAGAAGGATCATTATTGGGCTTCTAGAAAATAATCTTAATTTAAATTTGATATTTTTAATGAAAAATGAGAAATAAGAAATTTTCTTGGAAGAAAAATAAGAATCTTTTCAATGTTGCTTTAAATTGATTTAAATTAGGTCTTTAAATCATGTGTTGGGCGCATCATTGATTGGCTAGCTAGCTAGCTGATTACTCGCTGGACAGAACTTTCTTAAGACTAATCAACATTTTGATATATTTCTATGAATTAATAAGGAAATTCATGCCCCTTCGTTATCCTGTCAAAAAACGATTTTTCATTAAAAAATTCTTGCATAGTTTCAGACCCCTTTCACCTTAGAAGTCAGCCATCATTTATATGAAACCATATTCCTGTTAATTTGAATCTCGCTAGTAAATCAACCATCAACATGATAACAGTAAAAATGTCATAAAGTTTATTTCTCAACCACCCAGATTTAATTTAATAAAAATAATTTTTTATTATCTGAAGTTTGATATATTGTGACTTAACTAGCTAAAAACAAAATTTTAATCTTTACAGCATCATAAATCCATTTTCATGAAATTTAAGAAAATGTTTTTATTGTTTTATCTCAAAACTTTCATTGTTTTCACTTAAAAACGTGTAGAAAAAATTATTTAAAGCGATTTTTGTCAGGCTCAATATCTTTAATGTAGATCTATAATCATTTATCAAAAAAGAATCAACTTACTGCTAGAGAAATGCGCCAAAACCTTGCAATGTAAACGAATTCTTTCATCATTTTTCTTCCTTATCATCAGCATCATCTTATATACATTTTAAATTTATGCAAATTCTATTTAGTCGGAGAATCTTTCATGAATAAAATAGAGTAGCTTGTAAGGATATAAGGAGAAATAGAAATGAAAGTCAATTCTCAGTCAAGCTTTCGTAATTCTCATTTTTTATAATCAAAGATCCTTAAATTGTTAAACTTAAGATTATCTAAAAGAATTTCAAAGAAAAAAATTATTTCGGCATGAGCTGAATCAGTAAATAATTAGATTAAGTTCGTAGAAAAAAAAAAGTCACTGACTTTCCAAGAGATTCTCAAAGTCAAAGAGATTGAGTTTTTTTAAGAAAAATCCATAAATTTAATTAACTCTTTTTGCTTACGAAAATAATTCTTTAAATCTTACTAAGGATGATGTGAATGTAAAGTATAATATTCAGGAGGCTGTTCAGAGCTTTCCTAATAGCCAGGGGCGTAGCCAGGAATTTGAAGAGGGGGGGGGGGGGGGGGGGCAAAAATTTTTTTTGTATGGAAAACTTTTTTTTGGGGGGGGTTGTTAAATTTTCGGGTTTCTTAAAACTCTAGCAAAATGAGGAAATTTCTCAAGACGAAGGGGGATTTGTCCCCCAAATCCCCCCCTGGCTACGCGCCTGCATATAGCTGATGTAATCATACGAAATTTTTATGAAGTCTAAAATGACTGTATCAAACAGAAAAGAGCCTAAAATCAAAAACATCATTTGCGAACACCCAAAATCCATTACAAGAAGATACACGAATTCATGTCAACGATTACAACAGCCACGTTTAAATTACCAAGCAATCTGATTTTTAATTAAGTGAAAGGATGTCAAACATCTTTGAGTTTGTAAGTGAAACAAAAAAAGTATTAATCTAAGTATCCCCAAGGAAGGTTAATGAATTTTTTGTTTCTTCTTCTTCTTTGCCTCGTTCACAAAGAAAGAAATATCAAAAAAAGAAGAGGGAAAGTCATCTAAAAGATGTACACAGAAAAAACATCAATTTTCTTTTCTTTTATTAAGCAATTTTGCCACCCATGGCGAATAACTGAAAGTTGATGAAAGAGATTCTGGTAGAAAGGCATCATTCCTAATGAGTCGGACAACTGCAGCGCATCAAGAAATTAGCTGTGATTGCTGTGCATGAAATGGTCGTTTTTATTACTTTTTTGGTGAATTTCTTGTTGGCGATGAAAATAGTTTTGGTCTAATTTGGGGAACTTTGAGATATATAAAAATATAATGTCAGGAGACATACTGCGAATCTTATTAAATTTGGATTAGATTTTCTGTTTAGACGTTTCTTTTTGTCAAACGGATATATAAGTTTCCTGATTTATTGTGCAGCATCATTTTCTATTTTGATGGACTTTTTGAAATTGATCCAAAATAGACTTGTATTATTTCATAAGTAGAGCAATTCTATTTATTTTATAGCAACTGAATTAGCTGGCACAATTAGTCTTGACCCGAAAATTGTTGAATCAATGTAGATGTTCTCTGGTATCTACTAGAGCCTTTCTTACTTAATTGCCTAGCTTTTTAATATAAATTTTCAATTTGTATATTGAATTAAGTTTCAAACCTGAGCTTTCTTAAAATTCCGAGCAGGAATCGAACACTCATCTATAATGTTTTCCTCATCCTCTTACCACTGAGCTACTGGGGACAGCTTATAAGGTTATTAGAATGAGATCTTAAAACTATTTTGTGCTCTGAACAGTAATTTTGGTGCGGGTTTTAAGAACCTCTAGATCAGTGGTGCCCAACCTTTTTTGTGCCATGGTAAACTTGCTAGTAAGCCGTGACCAAAAACTGCACACAGCAAACGGTTATCGTACGGTGCCGCGACACACGGGTTGGCAATTATTGTCTAGATGAATAAACTCAAAAAATATTCTTAATTTTCTGCAAATCTTTATTGGCATGAATTTCAAACATTTCTGTATTAAGAGATTTCAAGGTGCGGAGCTGATAAATTGGATTTTTAATCATTTTTGATCATTTTGATCACTTTCGCACCCTTGAAACAAAATAAACTTATTTTCCTTTGCTGTCTTTTTAGGTTATGTAATAGAACTTTAAAGACAATGTTTCCATTCCCAAAAAAATTACATTTCATATCCCTTGTGTATCTTCAAAGACCAAAAACCCAAATTAATCTCATTCCAAAATGTTTAACATTTTTTTCAATCTTTATTAAGTTATAGAAAGTCGAGCAAAAGAAGTGAAGAAAATTGCTTTATGAAATACTAAAAGTTCACAATCAATACACGTATATAAAAAATTTCTAAATATGGATTTGAGAAAGATAATGAAAAATAAGCTTGGAGATTATGATGAAATGACAGCTATTTAGTTACAGATGAGTTAGGAAAATGAAAAGCAAGAAGGAAGAGAGAAAAAAAACGTATCGCATCATGGGAGAAGAGAAAAGAATATTTTTTTGACGGGGATATGAAAGAACTTTCACAAGAAATTGGATCATGATTAATTAAAGTAATTTATCATTTTTTTCTGAGGAAAATAAAAAGAAAATTGCGATAAAAAACAGTAGCTATAATCTAATTTACTAGACCTTCTTTTATGTACATTCAGCTTATCTTCTTCTTATTCCTGTCATGCTTTATATCACAACATAAAAGTGACGACGACCACTGCCATTCAGCTCTAATTTATTTGCAATGGCATCCATTTCTCTTTTAAGTAATATGTACTTTATGGCAGTGCTATAGCTACTGCCTAATATTACAATGTTGAATGACATCATGGAATGAATGAAATAATAATAAAAATGGAACATTAGAGTCGAGGAATGAACATAAAAAAGGGATGAAGGCGGAAGTGCTTTCAATTTTCAATTTTAGCATTCTTAAAAATAATGCGTGTCTTATATTTTCGGGCAATAATGCCTGAAGAGGCTTTTCTTCTTTTATATTTTTGATGAAATTCCTTCATTTCCCAT